CTTCAAGCTTTCATTCTAGTTGGATCGATTCTAAATATTTTGTAATTGGTCTTACCCATACAAATTCGTTCTATGTCGCATTTTTCTCTGTTTGATCAATAATTTTATTACAACTGTCAATTCATTCCAGAATACAAACGATATTGGCGTTTTGAAGATCAAACTGAATTGTATTATATATATATATATATATATATATATATATATATATATATTTATTATCTAATCTATGAAGTACACATATACTACATAAACCATTTAACTAGTTTTCTCAGAAATCACTAAATACGAAAGTCATTAAAAACAAATATTCAATTTTCTTCTATATAATTTATCTATTACGCGCTACGTAAAGTCGTTGATTTTAAATTTCATTTCCAATTTTTATTGATTTTAAAGTGCAATTCACAAATCAAAGAAAATTTCATTGAAAGTAGTAATACGAGTGAAAAATGTTCAATGTATAAATTTATTGACTTAAGTGACGAATAAGTAGGTAATTTGATTTTACTTAAAAATCTGCTTATAAAATCTATAAAATCTTGTAGTATTATTATCAACATTTTGACATTGAAATTAATTTTAGGTGAAATTTGTTAAGACTTTTATGAAATAATAAATAAAAATAATAATGATATTTTAAATATTTGCTGTATTAAATTTTAAAAAAATTGTTAATTTCTAAATTTGATTGAATGATAAGGGAATACTTTATTAAATTTGAGATTTTTTATGGTATGGTAATTTTTTTTGCTGGAGTATTATTAAAAATAAATAAAAATTATCCATACTATATTAATAATATTAACCATGAGATAAAAAGCATAAAAATGATGAAACATGAATTATATATAAAACTGGTTTCTTTCTACCAATTAATTAATTATATTGGCACTTTATATACTTTGAAAATGTCAAAGAATTATTATTCCAATTTTGCATGTTGGATAAGATGATAAATATATACCAAAATTAATTGTTTCTTCAGATGTCAATTATAGCTTTGGTTATAGAAATTATACGGAACTTTATCTAAACTATAGCAAACAGTTATTAATCTAAAAAGAAATCATTGCTTGATATATTTTCAATGATCTGATTTTTATATTTGATTAGTTATTAATTATAAGATAAAAGTAAATAATATTATATTTATTTTTTTTATTTCATATAGTAATTACAGAAATATGATACCTAGTAATGATTGCATTTAATTAACTAATTAAATTATAGTCTATTTTATTCGAGAATTTAAACAAGAAGCAAACTTTTTAATTTGATTTTTGGCAGAAAATAATATTAATTTCTCCACCACTTAATATCATCTTTTATGATAATTGAGTAATTGAGAAATATCAATTAATTTTATTAACGTAGAGTAAAATAATAATGTTTGTATAAATGTTTAAAGGTTTATGAACATTTTGACATACCATAGAAAAATTTGATGTATGTGTGTGTCCGTGTGTGTATGTATGTGCGGATACAATTTTTCGTCGCCGATTTTGAGAACAGAAATCAAGCGATTTGAATGATCCAAAAAACATTCGATTCCTATTGATAAGGAGACGTGCTGATTAGTTATTCGCAAAGGCAGGTCTAGCCGTTCCGAAGATGCGAGGCAAACAGTGCCAAAGATGGTAAATTAATTTTTGAGAGAACGAAGCCCCGGATTTACATAATTCAAAAAACATTTTATTTGTATCGACGAAATGAAGATCGTATGTAATTTTTGGAAAAGTACGTCTAGTGGTTTCGGAAATCTAATAAAAAACTGAAAAAAGAATGTGGACAAAAATGATCATTAGACATATGCACATCAAATTTTCAGATATTTTAATAATAATAAATTTTGTTTACATTTCCATTGGTTTCGTGCCAATGATTATCTGCTAGACTGCTATGCGTCGCTTACGCGCTTCGATTTTACACAGCTAACGTATTGCAATGAATTTGAAAAAAAGTTCAAAATTTCCAAGATATATCAAAGTATAAATAAAATAAAATTTTTCAAAAAGGTCAATTTTTTCGAAAATTTTAAAATTCTCAAAAATCTTTTTCAGTTCTAGAAAAAATTTAAATCATATTCAAAATTTATAATTTTTGGTATGGAAAGTTCCAACAATTTGCCTTAAGACACGATGCCATGCATCACTAGTTTTACTTTTTCTATAGTATGTCATTACATTGACACTGCTCATCTTCATTATAATAAAAAAAAGTTTACTAAATAGTGCTATATATAATAAATTGAATTTCTTCCCAAACAACTTTCAGTATACAATTTTCCAAAACATATGATAATTATGCGGCTCGAGTCAGATCCACACATTTTAATTTAATTCTATAACAGCAAAAAAGAAATTAATTTCTCCGCAACTTAATAAAATAAATCCCCAAGGCATCTCTTATGATAATTGGCGATTAAGTAATTTCAATTTAATTCGTGTAAGGTTTTTCATTAAAAAAGTTTGCATTTAAATGACACGGGGCCATAGATACCTGGCTCCAAATCCTTTCCGTATTTAGCGGATTAAGCAAATATTTAATTAAAAATCACGCTCGGAGTGATCATACTTATCTTCTTTAGCTTTCAAGGAGTTTTTTGGCATATTGGAAACGTTTAACCTTTTTATAAAATACTGCAGGGCATAGTCTATAAGTTTGTCGATTTCATTCTTCCATAAAAATAGATATGAAATTTATGGCATATGCATTCGCTGAAACATTAATATTATTGTAGATTTATTGAACGAAGTATATTTATATGACCTAAATCGAGCGATGAAAAACTTTGAAACTTCTGGAATAGATCGTAAGTTCATTATCATTGATTTTGTATGTATATATTTGCCATCGACTGAAGGATATTATGGTTATATTTATACTAGAACATTTTTTAAATTGATTTCAGAGTTGGTAAAATTCATGATTTACATTAAATTGTTTAGTAAAATTAGATATTGCCTTTTATAACAATTGTAATATATATTTTTGGTCATAAAAATGCAGTAGTTTTTAATAAGCGAGTTCTGTTTGTGAAAAATATGTTCATGGGTTTCTGCAACATAATTTTTTATCCTTTGCGCTTATTTGTTAATATAACTAGTAGTTTATGGCATAGTGTTTTAAATCAAATTGCTGGAACTTCCCATACTGTAATGAAATATTCGAAGAATATTGAATGTTATCAAATATAGTCTTATGATTGATTTTGAAAGTATATAAGTGAGCTTTAGAACTCTAGCTAGATTTAAAATCAAAATCCGAATTATTTTTGATATTCAAACAAAAATAATTTTGGAAATACAAAAATAAAAAATATTGGAATAAAAAAATGGATTTTTTTATCCATTTTGATTCACAAATGGATTTTTGAATCAATTAAATCGGGAGCTTCGTTCTCTCAAAAACCATCAATTTTCCAAAAGCTTTTAGTCTCCAAAACGGTTGGACCTGTCTTTGCCAATAACTGATCACCACTTCTCTCTTTTATTACGAATTGAATGTTTTTTGAATCACCCAAATCGGATGCTCCGCGGTTTCAAAAACTCGATTTCTATTTTCTGCACTTTTTACTTTGTATCTCCGAAACAGCTGGGCCTGTCTTTGCCAAAACTTAGTCACCACTTCTCTTTATTATTAGAATTGAATGTTTTTTCATCATCCAAATCGGATGCCTTGCGATTTCAAAAATTCGATTTCTCTTTTCTTTGCTTCGTATCTCCGAAACTGCTGGACTTGTCTTTGCCAAAAACTAATTAGCACGTCTCCTCATCAGTTGGAATCAAAAGCTTTTTCAATAAATCAAATCGATTGATCTGTGCGCTCGAAATCATGGACGAAAAATTGTATTCACGCAAAACACACACACACATCTATGTTTTGAGGTATATGCAAAATGTTCAAAAATCTCTCAAATGAAACGTGTGTAAAAATTTTCATTTCTGATTTTTAAACGATTACAATAACTTACTCGATGAGAAGTTAAAAAAACATAATAAAATAATTATCATTTGTTTGTTTTTTCAAATACATTCACTTTTTTATTTAAATCAAAACGATTTTTGCTTTGGCCATGTTGTATTATAATTAGTAAATAAGCTTTCATATGGCGCCAAAAAAGATGTATGTTTATAGGTTATTATTTATTATAAAGATAAAAAACTGATTAAAATTATTTTTGAAAAATGAGGTTAAGTTTCAATGAGTGACCATGTGGACACAACTAAAAACTGAGTGGAACTTAGAACAATGTAACACGATTCAGAAAATCTTCTTCATGATCTGTATTAAATGAATTTATTTTAATAACTGTTCTGCTACATACTAATTGCTGTTTTTACTACACTCATATTTTTAATCATATATGGTAATTCATCTTCAAGTACCAATTTTATATATTAAAATATATTCTTTTTGAATTGAAATTGACTTAATTTATTATAATCATATTTATTATATGATTATAATAAATTATATATATATATATATATATATATATATATGATTATGACTGAAAACTCAGCCTTATTTTTTTAAATCATTAAAAATATATCCTGCTATTTTGTAAAATTATAATAATTTGTTAATATCCGTATATACTGAAAAAATATCATGCAGAATTCCCAATAATTATAAGAAGACCACAAATTCAGTTATTAGCTACATTTAAAAAATATCGCCATTGTATACAGCAATAAGTTGAATTTTTTCCTTATTTTTCTAATTCAAGTAATATAGTATTAAATATTATCATATATAGTAATATATTCTTATAATTACTAATAATTACAAGGAGGCCACAAATTGAATAATAGGAAGACCACAAAAAATATCGCCTGATTGTTGTGTTAAATTCCATATTGTATTTCCATTGTATGCGTTGAATTTTCTCCTTATTTCTCTAATTCGAGTAATACGATATCATCGAATCAAGCTTTGTCATAATATGATGTTTCAACATATTCTCAAACATATGTGTATTTCTTTTGTCGCAGGAAAATATCCAACGATGTGGAAAACGTGTCGCACTTCCTGCAGGAGTACACCTACAAAAAAATCACGCCCTGCGACGTCTGCTCAGAAGTACTCAGAGGTTAGTAATGCGATCTTTTTGACTCTAAACCTGTGCTTTCCAAATTAAGAAACAAATTATTTATTTGCAAACTAGTTGTGCATGGCATCGTGCCTTGAGGCAAATTGCTGGAAGTTTCCGTACCAAAAATTATAATTTTCTGAAAACTTTAAAAACTGTGATTTTTGAAAATTTTGCAATTTTTGAAAGAAATTACCTTTTGTAAAAATATTTTTTTCTTTAGATTTTGAAATTGTTTGTAAATTTTGAACTTTTTCCAAAGCAATCGTGCTGCGTGGCTATTTTAGAAAAGAAATATCAAAGCGCGTAAGCGCCGCATCGCAGTCTAGCGGATAAACATTGGTACAGAACCCATAAAAATGTAAACAAAATTTATATTTATTAATAACATATCTATAGAATAAGTGATAATTTAATGTGCTTATGTCTACTGATCACTTTTGACGCCAAAATAGGTTTTTTTTTCACTTTTTTTTACTAGATCAATGAAACCACTAGACCTACCTTTTTTAAATAAATATTTAATAGATTTTTACTTGTCATACCGTTATTTATGTGGCGAATATAATTTAATATATTCACATAAATCCAGATAAAATATCAGAAAACGTTCCTTATTTTATTATATAAGATATAAATTTGTATTAAATTATGAGCCAATTTATGCCAATAGTTCATGTAACACGCAAAGAATATTATTTTTATGTTCTTAATAAATACGAAATATTATCCAAAAATTCATCGGTTGAAAAACGTCTAAAAAGTGCAATAAATCTTTTTTTCTATAAAAAATTTACAAATTTAGCATATTATATGATTAGCAATTTTAGAGCACTATTTTGAACAATAAGTTTAATTCTTACTGATTAATTTAAAAAAATAAATGCTATCGGTTTTCATCTTAGTACTAAAAACAATTAGTTGTTTTCACATACACAAGTTCATGTTTAAAAAAAAATTAAATATTAAATAATAAAGTTTCTACTTTCAAAGTTTGTGATAATCCATTATTTTTAATAACATTTTTTGTGAGTGCACCTAACTTATTTAATTATGTATTTTACAACAATGAACCATTTATTTAAAGATTGCTTGATGGATTAATTTATTGCTATTTTATTAATTTTATATATGTTTATTTCGTGAAAAATAATAATAATTTTATTTAGAATATTGATGAACAGTAAGGTGGAATTTTGTTATTGAATAGACCATACCTTTTAACTGTTCACGCTTACAGAAATTCTACTTATTTTTTATCAAATTTAAAAAATATCTTTATCTTTAAAATTTATACATTTAATATAAATTTGAAAAATTTCCATCCAAAATAAAGAACTATAGAGAATAAAGTACATCTAATAAAGTAGGAGAGTTTTCAGCAAAATTTAAATCATTAGTATTACAGCCCAAGGATGCGCGAATAATTCTCACATCGAGCAGAAAATTATTAAGCATGATTTGTTGCAAATTCCTAATATATAACCTTCATACAAAAAACATTTATATAAAAATTTGTACGCTCAAACGATTTTTACAAGCCTCGGAGAAAATAAGAGTTTTCTTAAATCTTCTTTTGCTTGGAAAATAGAAATAAACATACTTTATAACATCAAAGTATCAGCAAAGTAATTCAATGTCATATGAACAGCTGTTTAATAAGATTTAATTTTTTTGTCGATAAAAGACTATTAGAAATATTGAAAATCTTCTGTTATAAACATCAAGGAGTTGTTTTATGATTTTATGCGAAAACATTTTATAATAATTTATTCCAGAAAAGAGCAGTCGAGCGATATAAATATGTATTTCTCAACAAATTGTTCCAAGAATCGATTTATACAGGGTGTCCCAGACCTTGACGTCAAGCTGTAACAGGGTGAAAGTAATAACAAAAATATTTAAAAATTGTTAACCTTATAACAAATTTTGGTGTTAAATTTTTAGTCTACTATATTGAACACCAAGTGCTCACTAATCAGTATAAAAATATAAATTTGAATGGTTTTCATCTTGTTTTATACATTCACAAGTTTATTCACAGTCTTGAAAAATTTTTGAAAAAAATATATTACGTTGTTGATGAGCTTTTAAGTGCCACCTAGAGCTTTGGAAAAATTATGACCATTTTCTGGTTATTGTCGTTAACTTTTATCAATTTTGTATATTTAAACTTTTGAACCGTAACCGTGAATAACATTTCTGAGATTACAATAAAAAGATACAATTGCCCAAATTTTCCAAAATTAAGACTTTTTCTTGAACTATGCAATTACAATTTTCTAAATTGGTCGACTTGGAGAGGCCTTAAGACAAAAAAAAATTCAAGTAAATAAATAATAAATTTGAGCAAAGTTATGAAATATTTTACCTTTTCACAATCCTGTTGAAAAAGGTTGTTTTTCTGAATTGAACTGAATTTTGTGAAATTATGATTTTTTTAGCGAATCATATATTTTGCTTGCACAATCTAAATACAAGTATTGAAGTAAATTGGCGTAAAGTAAATTCACTTTATGTAGATAAATCAAATATATATATATATATATATATATATATATAGTATATATATTAGGGTGGTCCTTAATATGGACATTTTTTAATTTCCTTGGTTCCAAGGGCTCAAATGGTTTCAAATTGATAAAAAACAATCCTCTGAAAGTTTTAGCTCTTAATATTGTCTTTTTGATCGAGCGTAATTCAATCGAAGTTTTGTATGGAAATAGCATAAAAATATACAAGATTATATCAAATATATATATATATATATATATATAAATTAGATTATATCAAAGGTAAAACACTTTCTTTTACCATACCTTTCACATTAACATGTACCAAACACGTGGTAAAATATTAATATACCATCATAAATTTAAAATGTACTTCCTGATAATTATTCAATTTTTTTCAAAAAAAAAAGCTCAGAATTCTTGTATATATTATTTCGAAATAATGAAATACACTTTTATTAATTACTCAAGTTTTTCTTGATTGTACAAACCTAAAAGCTTCCGAATGAGGAGCCATATAATTTTTACAACCTGCTATAGGGCACCATTAATTAAGCAGTATTTTAGGTAGAAAAAACCCCATCCACAAATAATTATATGCAAACCATTACTCTTTTGTTAGAATCATATAGTAGATTTGATCAAATGAAAATTAATTTTTGTAAAACTAAAAGTATAAATTGCACAAACTTCCGATTGCGTAGCAAAGCACTAAAAGTTTTCAGAAGATACCAGTATAAGTTTTCAAAGGAGGTTTGAAAAATAACATTGGTAATAATAATTTTATCTAAATAACAAATTTTCTTATATATTACTTTTTATTTATAATTGACAATATTTATTTAATTTGTATATACCCAACTAGGGACTGCAATACCTATAAAAAGAAAAATTGAAACCAGTATTTCGGTATTTTTGCTTTGAAAACCGGTAGTACCGGTGGAATACCGGTATAATATATTATTTCAAAAAATGTAAACAAAATTTAAAATTACTCAAGATCAAATTACAATCTGTTTTTTAATAACAATAATATTTAGTAACTAACCAGAAAGCTTTATTTTATTAATTTTGAGTATTTATGGAATAGAATATTTTGGCGCCGACGTCATTTTAAAACACTGTTACATCTTTAAATAAGAACAAATATTTTGCAACATATGAAAGCAATAAATATTCATATTAATGACGAGTCAACATAATATTTTGTCACTTGTTTATATAATAGAACGACCTAAAAAGACACCATTTCAGTTAAGGACTTAATGACCATTCTGAACTTTAGAGCCGTAATATTTTTGTAAGAATAGTGTGCAAAAAATGCAATTTAAATAAATGCAAAGAAATAAGATTTTTAAAATAATTTATATAATTAAATCATTATTAAAATTGCCAAACATAGTCAATCTTTTTTACAAATTCAGAGAAATTCAGTTATTTTTATAAGTGTTTATGTAATATCGAGTACTAGAGATTATTTTTATAAGTAACTAAAACAATGAGAAATAAATTTGAAGTTACGCAATTTCTTATAATAAAAATAATGTATGTGAATCAAATAAACTTAAGGTTCATACAAGTAAATCAAATGATAGTTATTGAACAAACTTCCTAGAAACATATTTATCTGTTATTGTTATTTGATTTATATATTCTTAAAAACCAAATCAAATCTAGTTAAGAAATATTTCTGAGAAAGCTCGTTATATAATAATACTTTACCATATATTGCATTTTTACATTTCTTTTTCCTTGAGAAAATGAACTTGAGTTATATTAAAGTGCATTAAATTGAATTCTGGGAAAACATCTATGAATAATATTAACATATTACGTAACTATATCGATTCTTGGGACAATTTGTCCAGAAAGACGAATTTTATGAACGCACGACTGCGGAATAATTTTTTCTAAAATGCTTTAGTATAAAATCATAACAGAAATTTTTTAATATTTTTAATTTATGTCTTTTATAGATATGAAAATTAAATCTTATTAAACAGCTGTTCATATGACATTGAATTACTTCGCTGATACTTTGATGTTATGAAATATGTTTATTTCTATTACCCAAGCAAAAGAAGATTTAAAAAAACTCTTATTTTCTCAGAGGCTTGTTAAAATCGTTTGAGCGTACAAATTTCTATAAAAATGTTTTCTATACGAAGGTTTTATATTAGGAATATGCTACAAATCATGCTTAATATCTTTCTGCTCGATGTGAGAATTATTTGCGCATCCTTGGGCTGTCATTCTAATGATTTAAATTTTCCTGAAGACTCTTTTATAATGTTATGGTAATGCGACGAATTAAATGTACTTTAATATTTTTCAATGCCAATGAAAGGAATTACATTGAATAATATTTTATGTTTAGAGGAAATAGGTAATTATTATGAATTATATTAATTCATATTTTTCCATTATATTATATTATTCATTAATTATATCTTCTTTACATATTAATTGGTAAATTATTCATATTTT